AGGGCCAGCGAATGTGAGACTTCTGCCAGTAATGATGCATCCTAACAAGGTACTGGCAATCAGTTTTATTATTCTTATTTTTGATTGAATGTAACTCACTTTTAATGGTAAATTAGACAGATTCTGATTTTGCAAACACACACATGTGATGCTGGTGGTAGTACTCATATATTTATAATTAAATATATGCAAAAAAGAAATTTGAATTTCAGGACATAATCCTGAAGTACAAGTCAGAATAGTTTTTATTCTTTCCAGCATGTATGAATCTTGGACTTTCATATTTTAAAAGCAAGTAATGTCCCCAGAAAATCTTTGTGAGGTCATGCTTGGCCTCCTTTGAAGGAATTCACCCATTAATAGCTTTGCTTTCCCCATAAGTCATGCACGAGCTTTACCTCAGTTACCTACAGTACTCTGCTGTCTTCTGAGTACCAATCCTACACATCACTGCAAAATCGTTGCTATCTATAGAGACTTACAGTTATATACTTGCTTTCGATTATCTTTGTAAATGTGAAGAATCATGGGACATTTACTGAAATCATCATGAAAATTTAGAAATAATTTACTAATAACAATGACTTCCATAAGAAAATAAATACTATGAAGGTAATAGCTATATTTTCACATGTGTAACCTGTGAATTTACTAGACAAAACATACAGAACTATGATTCAGCAGCAGCATGCACATTATCACACATGCAAGCAAGACCAGAGGGAATTGATCTAAAGCCCATCTTCCTTCAGTAGCTTCCCTATCCAGCACCCTCTCTTCAATTAGTTTCTGCTTTCTATAGCCTCTTGCCATAGCTTCCAAGTTTGTGTTCATTATCATACGGTATAGGCTATCTGAAAGCTTATTCTCAAATACAAGTATTTTTAAAGGGCTATACAGTATGTGTAGATTTTATGTGTGGAAATATGGTAAACGTTGGTATAGCTTAGCAGTGGCTACTAATCAGTTATAGGATGCTTTCCTAGTGGGAAATCAGTGGTTTGCAGTTGGCTGAAACTTTCAAAACTGTCTAGGAAAGCAGAATATACAGTACCCTTTGATTTTCTCATTGTGAATCCCCTAAATGATTTTGAAAATTTCAACTATTATTGGTAGTTCCATGGTAAAACCAGAACAATGTGACATGGCACTTACCCCTCAGACTGTTGTTTAAGAATCTTGTAGTTTAAAAATCTTATATTTAATTTCCTTCAACTGTCTTATGGCAATTTGGATTTTTGGCGTAATTTATGGGACTTTATTACAAGCCCTATAAAAACTTACCTATTGTATACACTGTACAAGGTGGGGTATGTTCCATTAATCAGAACATCAGAGCCTGGCCAAAAGAAGGTCCCTGCTTTCAAATTTTGGTACATTGCTGTCAACCAGACCTATGGGTAAAGATACAAACAAATGATTTTATGGCATTTACAGCACTGGAGGATCTTAGATCACCAAAGTAAAAATACATAATCGAATCAGAAACATGGGCTGCAAGCATGCATTTCTATTTCTTCTTTCACACATGATGCAGTTGCCTAATGACTACATCTGCTTTGAAGTTTGTTTTCTACATACATATTCTGAAGAAAAATTAGAAGCACAGAAGCCAGGGTGTTGCCATTTCTTGGCTATTCTCAGCATAGAAAAAATCATATAGTTATTTCCATAAATGGCAACAGGTAGTGATGTTTTTTCCTACGGCAAATGCCAACGGAACGAATCATGAAGATGGAAGAATGGTTCAAACCTGTGTCAGGGATGTTCAGGCTCGACATTAGGAAACACTTCTTTACAGAGAGAGTGGTCAAACACTGGAACAGACTTCCTAGTGAGGCGGTTGATGCCCCAAGCCTGTCAGTGTTTAAGAGACACTTGGACAATGCCTTCAACAACATGCCTTAAATTTTGGTCAGCCCTGAATTGGTCAGGCAGTTGGACAAGATGATCATTGCAAGTCCCTTCCAACTGAAATATTCTATTCTATTCTATTCTATTCTATTCTATTCTATTCTATTCTATTCTATTCTGTTCTGTTCTGTTCTGTTCTGTTCTGTTCTAAGATACGGATTCTAGCTATGTGACTTTTGTATAAGAGGGCATATTTCTATTCATCTTACAGAGTACAGCTGTGGTTCTGTTACAACCCTGACGGAATCCTTCATGAAACTTTAGCACCAAAACCTGGATACTTAAGTATACTATAAACGTGACTAGACAGACACATACACAAACGCAATAAATATATAAATTTATATTAAGTAGATATACTATATACTTCATGTGTATTTTTTATATTTTTGTACCATTATTACAGCTTGATATTTGTAGTATGAATTTTAGAATTAATAATAATCACAACCATAGGTACGATCAAGGTGGGGGTTTTTTAATGAAATCTGCTATACATTATATATAAGTGTTCATTTTGCTGGAAATTCAGCTCTTTACTATTCTCTTCCTTGCTTTTATATGCCTGGAATTTCTAAGTGTACTTGTAAATGGATATACTTTGGAAGTAGATTTTCAGATTGCACTTTGTAGCTCGTTGTCAAAAGACAAACAAAACCACACCCCAACAATAAAACCATATCAAAAATTTACTGCGGCTCCCTGTGACAAGAGATCCATTCCAATACTAGCCAAAATATTTAAGTCTTTTTTAATAACTACCACATTAAGTGAAATTTTTAAGTCTCAGTATTAACATTTCAAGAGTTCTTTTGCTTTCATAGCAAACTGTTTTGTAGGCAACCTATAATATGAAGCCGACGGGATATTTAGCACATACTGCAAATATATCACAGAGCTTTGCATCTTATTCTCGTTTTGTTTTATAATATGACACATGAGCCACTCTAGACATAAAGGAATACCATGATGAGAAATAAACCTACTGGCTGTCCCTTCCACCACGAAGGTTCGAATTTTTCCATCCCCGAAAGTGAGAAATGCTTGTTCAAGTCTACATCATACATGCTGTTATCAATAATACCATGAGATTCTGGATACAATCCCTGCAAAATGAAAATAAACAAAAAAACCCCACTGAATCTTGAAATCAAATGGAGTCTAAACTATAAACTATAGTTTATATGGAGTCTAATATGGAGTCTAAACTATAAACTAGCGCTCTTTTATCATAGAAAAAGAACATGCCTTCCTAACTCACACAGATCATCAGATTCCTGCCAACGAATTCAGCATGCCTGTCAAGTTCCCCTGAGTTTCCCAATTTTCTCCCAAGCCCAGTTAAAACCTGATGTGCTATAGATTAAGTACCATATATGTCACATGGCTATATATCCGCTGTCAAATCCATCCTAACACACACTCTTATCAAATGGCTGTGTCCTCACCCATGCTTACACCTATTCAATTAGACTAACAAAGATCAGGAATAACTGGTTCACAGGCCAGAATCAGATAGCATACATATATAGCCACATAGATCATACCTGCATGTACTATCTCAGCATGTCCCTCTCTCTTTTACTCCTATTGCTCGAGTTCCCATGTCCCACAAAACGATTGGCACCACAAAATGCTTTCTATCTCATCCAGATAATGAAAAGGAGAAATAGCAAGTTCTCACTTACTGTGACAATAGTATAGTGGTTTGGAAAGGTTTTTGTGGGGTAAACAGCTCTCATGTATTTTGAATGTGTGCCACACGTTTCTGTAACAGATCATGGAATTAATATAAATTTACTTATCTTTTTTTTAATTAAAAACTAACAGTCTTAAAAAACAAACAAAAAAAAATCACCACAGTCAGTTGCTGTGGTATTTGAAAGTAAATGTGACTCCAAATTAAGACGCATAGATGCTGGTGCCTCCTTTTGAGCTAGGCCTACTGTCCCATTGCAGTCAATGGACCCTGGACACTCAATTCAGCTGCCTAAAGCCTAGATGCCTAGGGCTGTTTGAGACATCTTTAGTGATCTTGCCTGGCCTTCAGATGCTGCTCCTACATCACGTCTGCCAACCCAAATGAATGTCTCAGATACTTCTGAGACCCAAAATGTCACTAGACATGTATATTTACGTAACGAGACTGAAGCCTCTGTTCAGTCCAGGCAAGACATTCTGCAGAACTGTCTAGACACATGGGAAGGACTCAGTTGCTTAAGCACTAGGGTCTGGTGCCTTTTGCGATACCCTCAGATATAAAAGACACCTGCATGAAAGTTGGCAGTCTTAATGCAAGATCACTGGGAAATCTGTGTCCTCCTGACACAGCTGCTCAAGGCCACCTAGGATATGCCACAGCACTCAGAAGAATACTAGAAACATAGGTTAAGGCAACAAATTTGACCTGTGGCACCCTCTGTCTGTCGGTTGAGCTGACTTGCTCTCTAGACTCTTGCAGTGCGCTGTACAAACTGTGCTAATCATAAATGCGCTGACGACAATGAGCATGTAGACATCTAATACGTAGACACCTCCAAGAACATATCTAAATGTAGGTGTCCTGCCCTGGAGTGAATCCCACACCAGGTGTCCTACCTTTATCTCCAAGCATTGTATCACTTCTCAGTAATCTAAGGCACTTACCACACCTGAACATTTATAATATCTAAATCCCCTGTAGTATCAAACTTATTTACACACAAAACAAAGGTGTGATGACTGGAAGATGCGTTAATGCCATTTTTTAATCTAACTCACGTGCAGAAACAGTTCTGTATTAATCTGTAGTCAAATGATTATTTGATTCACACTCAAACACACTTCATTCTTTGATGTACAGCGTTTCAAAGAACAGAAACTGATTTTAACTAAACAACCTCAACTAAACAATGAAAGACTGAAATTATTCAACAAAACAGTTACAGTGTAGTACAGTGTCATGGTTTAGCCCCAGCCGGCAACTAAGCACCACGCAGCCACTCACTCCCCCTCCCGCAGTGGGACAGGGGAGAGAATTAGAAAAAAAACCTCGTGGGTTGAGATAAACACAGTTTCATAGGACGGAAAGAGAGAAGGAAACAACAATGGTAATACCAACAAAGGAATGTACAAGAACAAGTGATGCCCAATACAGCAATTGCTCACAACCCAGTGATCGATAGTCCGTCCCTGAGCAGCAATTTCTGCCCCCCGGCCAACTCCAGTTTATGTACTGGGCATGACGTCGTATGGTATGGAATATCCCTTTGGCCAGCCTGGGTCAGCTGTCCCGGCTGTGTCCCCTCCCAGCTCCCCGTGCACCCCCAGCCTGCTCTCTGGCTGCTCAGCAACAACCCAAAACATCAGCATGTTATCAACAGTTTCTCATCCCAAATCCAAAACACAGCTTCACACTAGCTTCTGTGAAGAAAACTAGCTCTATTCTGGCTGAAACCAGGATATACAGAAAAAAAGGCTTATAAGAACATCAGCATAATTTTTTATGGATTTCTCTTGAATGGTGAAGGAGCTACATTCATAGTGTACATATTCTGTAACAACTAGCTTGATTAGCTCTACTGAAAATCCTAGGTCAATGGAGTTCACAGAGGGGAAATATTATATGCTACAAATCAGCATTTTTTCTTTTGCAAAGAAAGGAATTTCCTTTTCCTTTCCGCTGTAGATTTCTAAGAAGTGTAAGCATGAATGTGCATAAACAATTGTTGAAATTGACCACAAATATGAGTAATGCTGATTAGATCCCTTCTTGTTTGAAAAGATTTCTTGGAAACATAGACATAGCATGGTTTTCATCCCTTTTGTCTATTTGGCATTTCCTTTTCACCTGTTTCAAAAGACTGGAACTGAACACTGACTTCTGCATGCACAATTTCTTCACTGATTCAAGTTGCTTCCAAAGTCAGAATAACATCAAAGGATAAAATACTTGCACAAGAAGTCCGGTTTGCAAACTGCTTCAAGTTCAGCCTTCCGGATACCCCCATTATCCACAAACAAGATTGTTAACTATTCAGTAAAACGTAGTACTTTGTAATATTCATATGACGTTTTCAAATGAGCACAATAGAAACAGAATATGATGTATTCAGAACAGATACAAACACTGTCAATTTAGACTATTACTGCTGAGAAGAAGCTGATAAATATGCAGACATTTTGTCCAGGTACAAAGAATCTTGAGAGCTGAGCTCTAAAATATTCAGGAAATCTTAACAAAGTGTGCATTAATGGGTCTCACTTTTTAGAGCCCTTTACAGCACAAGCTAAAGATCTTCAACTTATGATTTCTCCCAATATTCAGAAATACCGGGAAACAGTTACCTTAACCTTACTGCAATCATATAATATATTAAATTATACCAATACATAAATTATATTGCATTTAAGTCTAATATAATAATATTCACTGACATACTTTTAAATATGCAGCTTCTCTTTAATATCTTAAAATAGCTGACTTGAAAAAGTGCATCTTTGAGGAAAATTTCCCAAAAACCCAGTGCATTTTCTTTCTTTATTATACTTTAATGATGACCTCCTTATCAGCTAGAATTTTTCAATGGAGTACAGAGAATGCAGGAAATCTTTGTCTGGAACTTTTTTTCAGTCTTAAACGGTGTTTGAATGTGTATTTCAAGCTATTTAATAAAAAGCTGCTGGCTGGTCTTAGAGGCCTTGTTAAGAAAAAATTCATTTGCTGTGCACTCAATACAAAAATTAATGTAGAACATGTAATAATGAAAATATAAAACTGATGAGGGAGACCTATTTTGTGATTTTCTTATTGCTGAGCAACACACATGCATGACAGCAGCAAAAGGGACTGGAGAGGTTGCATGCAAACTTTTAAAGAAAATAGTCAAAGCACTCTTGGTAACTTACTGAGTTTTGCAATATTAGGCATCAAAGAACTCCAAGTTTGCAAGTATTCTGCTCTAAACCCATCCATTGAAAAAAGGATAAGTGGTGGCAGATCAAACCTACAAGAAAATATGAGTTTGTCATCATAACGAAGTTTGGAGAGTTGGTGAGTTGTTAACTTTAACAATATAAATTCTACTTTTAAAAGCAGGATCTGGAATTTCCAAGTACATTGAGATAAACAAATGGTTCAATTTTGAGAGCAAATACAAAATCTTCCCCCCAAAAAACACTGGAGGAATAAAATAGAAGCTACTCAGTAGATATAGAACCTAGAAAAAGAAAATGCGTTTTGTTAATCTTTTAATTACAAATACAAATAAATACAAATGCTGCAGACTACCATCGAAATACAAACCCAGAGTATAGAACAACCAAAGTACCTCTGTACATAGTAATGGGTTGAATTCTGTCTTTTGTCTCTTAATTCATCTTAAAAAATCTTCCAGGGCAGCTGCACAAGGACTGTAAAAGTACAGCAGTCAACCAGCAAGCAATTAGAGTCCACTGGTCTCAGTGCTGGGAAATGTAATCTCTTTACAATGCCAGGTTTGTGCTAACCTCTTACTTTACCACATTGCCTTTGTGAAGACATCACTAAGCAGTCCATGTTCTTCGTAGATTATACCTTACAAGTTTCTCAGCTCTCATAGAGCTGGAGAACACTTCTTTGCCGCAAGGCTCCTGACAAACTGAAATCAAAGCTACAAAAGGAATGCAGCAGCTGCTAATGTGCTTAGGGTAAGACTTTATGTAAAGAAACAAGGATAAAAGCCTCAGATCTGAGTTCACACAGTAGGCATGATAAAGTATACACAAACTGCAGCTGATCTCTAGAACAGCATTTAAATTCCTGTTAAAAAAAATCTAATTAGATGGTGCTACCTGTGAAAATAAACTTCAAAGTTATTAAACATGCTTTCTCTTAACCAACCTAAAAGGTCTCCTAAAGAAAAATGCATTATCAGTTATAAAGTGCTGGTGCTATAGCACCTTTTTTCATAGCACCAAGTGACAAAATCACTAGGAGTAAGTCATCTAGTTCTGCAAATTCAGTCTTTTTGTTAATCATCATTATATATTACACAGTCTCCCTAGAAACATATAAATAAATATAAAAATTGTAAACATACAATTAAATTAAAAATGTAGTTTGAAGTAGCCTTCACTGCACGTAGTATCTAAAAAAACCCCAACTGTTTGTAATTTCTAGGAATGGTTCACTACACAAGCCTGGAAAATACTGATAACTGACTCCAAAACATTTTTTGGAGTAATACTTTGAGTCATAACTATTAAAAAAAAGTTATATATTTGGGCTGTAATCACTATCCCAGTTTGTTTCTCATTCATAGTGGTCTTTCCAAAACACAGAAGTACACTTGCATCAACAATTTGTATAAAAACAGTTTGTATAAAACAGCTTCTTGATTTGAATCTGAAATTAAATGGAGCTTTATAAAGCAATGCTGTTTACAGCACTTAAAGAAGCCTTCCTCCACTAGTTTCCAGGCTTTAGCCTATGAAACTGCATTAACTCAGCAAGTTATTTGTTAACCTAAGTAGTATATACTTGTACCTCTGTTGGGAGATGCATGCAAGAACCCATGAAGAGGCCACAATACTAAAGGTATTATTGTTAAAATTAAACTAAATTGGCAGTAAAATAGATGGAATAATGGATAACATCACAAATACCATAACTGAACCAGAAAACAATTGATTTTTCTTTGAGAACAACTTTTAAACTGTGCTTCTGCCTAGCCTCTAACAATGATTCCTCAATACTGCACAAATAGCAAAACATCTACAGGTGGACATCAGAATTACTATGTTTCAGCGTTTGCAAATATATGGCTAATTTCATAGATTCCTTTTTAATATACCTTTCTTCCACAGATAATTCAAGTAAAAAACCCCATTTGATAAAAAATTACAATTGCAAATTCTAACAGTTATTACAGCTTGCATAAGGTGATTTATCAGAATTATCACACATACAATATGGTAACATAAAATGGACTATGAACAATTTGTGACACATGAAACTTGAGATAACTCTAACAATTTTTTCAGGTCTTTGCAAACTGACTTTCAGTCTGGATTTTAACTCCTGTACTCTGCTCTAAACTATAAATGATAAATGAAAGTGCAACAAAATGACAAAGGTTTTAGAAGTAAAAACATCGCTAGCCACAAACGGCTTTTATAGAATATTCTTCAAGGCCGGATCCTTATTCTCAGTAAATATGAAAACCTCATGAAGACCTGCTTCAGGCCACTGGAGTATTTCTGACCATCACAATGATTGTGCTTGCTAAGAAGAAAAAAAGATTTTATCCTACCCAGCTGGACACTGAGGAGTTTCAAGTGATATGCATGGTTCTTCTACCCAAGGTATTTCACCTAACAAGATGAAAGAAAGTACTAAGTCAGCATTAAAAAACCCCACACAAACAACACATAATTTTCCTGGTTGATCTTTTTGGAGCTCTTCCTGGTACTTTTTCTGCTTCAATACAGAATTATAGAAACATAGGGCTAAATATACCTTTAATGCAAAATATTTGGCTCTCAAAGCCTGGAAGGGCTGATGCTTTCAGTTGTAAGTTAAAAACAAAGTACATATACTACACAGCAAAGTAAACAAACAAAACAGAAAAGAAATCACTGTGAAAGTTTATCCTAACTTTTACCTGTATCCTGTCTACGCAGGATCACTGCCGCCTTTGCAGATACCACTTACACATTTAGAGATGATTGCCAGGGCTTCCTTTAGCTTTTTTTTTTTGTTGTTGTAAAGAGCCTAAACTCCTTCAGTCTTTCCTTGTTGACCATGGCTTCCAAATTTCAAGTAATTCTTTCTCTTATCCTTTGAATATTCTCCATCTGGTTCACAGCTATACTCATGTATTTTAATGTTTGCCCATCTCTTTGGAAGAAATAAGGGAGGTCAATAAGAGATGCAAGAAGGAAAGCATCCAAGAAAGGAAAAAATATAAAGAAAAGAGAAGCAGCAGTGGCTGTTGAAGTTCTTGGCTCATTACAGAAAGCTTGTCTCCGAGTAAGCAGCCAAAGGCAGGGGTGTGCAGTGACCTTAACTAGGTCAGCTCAATCAATTTAGCACCTAGTTAATCTCCTGACTGCTTTTACCCTTAATTTGTATGTAGATGACAAATATAATTTTGCAGGAGTTAGGATCTGATTTTGCCAGTGCTAGTCCTCATGTGTTTAGCCAGAGTCTGTAGACTGAAACAATTAGCCATGAACAAAGATATTCAGAAGTAAGTAAAACAAAAGAAACCCAAACTGAAAATTAATTTCTAATAAAAAGGATGGAAAATTTTATATTAGGGATGATTACTACAACATGTACTTTGTATTGCATGAAGTTTGAAGCAGAAAACATGTCTCAATCAATTTTTGAAGAAAAAAAGAAAATAAACAATCCAAAACCCCTGCATTTGGTATACTGCTGCAATATTCAAAATATTCTGTCTTTATTATGAATGCCACATTCACATTGCTCTCCAGAAGCTGTCTTTTTCCCAGTCAAAAATACCAAAAGCTTCACCTCAAAACATCTTAATTTTCCAAAATGTCACTGTAAGACTCTAATGTTGAGAAACAAATGCATCTACCTCTATATTTGCCATGTTTACCCATCTGTTTATTTCACAGGATAATTTACATATAAAACTTTTTGACTTTTGATTTACCTTTGCAAACACTGTTGTAGTTTACACAGCAGTCTTTTTTCTGCAAGCAGTCATCAGAACAAGAACAGTAACTTCCAGGTATCCGTGTCTCACCACAACGGAAATTAGTGCACCTCCAAGACTGCGCTGAAAATTGGAAGAAAAAGTTTACGATTCAGTTCACAGAACTGTATGTAAACTCCTTTCTGTGAAAATCCCCCAAACAGGTAAAGAAAAAAAAAAAAAGAGTTTTTGTTAAACTATAATTTACTTGTCCTGCTTGAGTTGCTTTAGAAGTTTTATCGGAAAGGAAAATTCAAGATTTTGTTTAAAACATAAAGCCTATTTCTGCAGCCATTGAATGGTAACACAGAGTCATAGAATAATTTATTTTAAAAAGGTGTCTCTTCAATGCCTTCCACTCTTTCAGGAAGATCTGAAAAAACAATAATCAAACCCATGTTTTTCCAACAGAAGAGAAAGAGAAGGAAACAGATCTTTTTTCTGCTTTTGCACTGATTCCAGCAGACAGAAAAAAAAAAAAAAAAGAGAGGTAAGGGCTGAAGCGGACAGAAAAAGTGACAAGAGTGAAGAAACTCCTGAGCAGCTGCCAGGAGAGCTCAGAGAGTAACTGGAGAGGAGTCTGGCCTCAGTGCAGAGCCAGGCCGGTTCCCTGGAAGATGAGTGCACTCCTCCAAACCCAGGTCCCCACCGAGCACTGCATGAGACTGGGGAGTGCACCCAGCCAGGAAACACCCGTTCATTTTGGAAAATGCAAGAGGTGCCAGCACAGCAGCATCATTTCAGGGCCCTGGTCAAAGATAACCTATGATTTCTGCTCATGCTCATCCACAGCTTTATCTGGGCCAGGAAATATGCACTGCAAATGCTTTGGTTACCCACAGGGGACAAAAATAGGGGGATTTGATTTGAGAAAGACACAGGAAGATTTCATGTCCTGCTAGGTCGCCAAGTCACGGCCCTATAGGCATCAGAGTGCAGCAGCAACTCAACATCGCCATGTCCTTCCCTCCTTGAGGGAATGTGACATAACTTTTGTATATCTCCATAAATAAGAGAATTTATCTTTTTCCAATTACTATCACATAAAAAACCAACTCCCCCAAAAAATGGAAACCAGTGAGCATTGCCTGTAGGGGAACATACTTGGCTCCACGCAGGTGTCCTCGTAGTCCCAGCAGCAGTCCCGGCGCTCCTCCTGCCAGCCACTGTCACACCGGCAGCCAGGCACCTCTTTCCTGTGAGGCTCATTGCACTTGTGCCTGCAGCTGACTGTAAGGAGAAGGCAGCGAGTCTGAGTGCTCGGATAACCCTGTCCCAGACGAGTCAGTTAAATGGATCATGGACACAGGCTGCAGGGAGAAATGTGCTGAATAATTTCCCAAATCCACTTCCCAAGAAATTTTCCGATGCAATCACTAGTGCATGGGTCGGCAAGGAGAAACAAAAGCCATAGGAAGTCCTCTGGATGTAGAAGGTCCTGGTGGCTGTTTGGGCTGTGCAGAGAGCCTGCAGCAGGGCTGTTTCTGCTGCAAGTCTCCTCAGGACTGGGTGGCACAGGAAGCAATGCCTGGGTGTCCCACCCAGCCAGCATGAGGAGGGCGAAACTGGCATCTCCCCCACTCATTTCTGGGTCTGGGATGTGAGAGGAACCACAGAATCACTAAGGTTGGAAAACACATTTAAGATCACCAAGCCCAACCATCAACCCAACACCACCATGCCCCCTAAACCATGTCCTGAAGTGCCACGTCTACATGTTCTTTGAATACTTCTGGTGATGGTGACTCCACCACCTCCCTGGGCAGCCTGTTCCAATGCTTGACCACTCTCTCAGTAAAGAAATTTTTCCTAATATCCAGTCTAAACCTCCCCTGGTGCAACTTGAGGCCATTTCCTCTTGTCCTATCACTAGTTACTTGGGAGACCAACACCCACGTTGCCACAACCCCCGTTCACGTAGTTGTAGAGAGTGATAAGGTCTCCCCTCAGCCTCCTCTTCTCCAGACTGAACAAGTCCAGTTCCCTCAGCTGCTCCCCATAAGACTTGTGCTCCAGACCCCTCACCAGCTTCGTTGCTCTTCTCTGGTCACGCTCCAGCACCTCAATGTCCTTCTTGTAGTGAGGGGCCCAACACTGAACACAGGATTCAAGGTGCGGCCTCACCAGTGCCGAGTACAGGGGCACAATCACTTCCCTACTCCTGCTGGCCACACTATTCCTGATACAGGCCAGGATGTTGTTGGCCTTCTTGGCCACCTGGGCACACTGCCGGCTCATGTTCAGCCGGCTGTCAACCAGCACCCCCAGGTCCCGTTCTGCCGGGCAGCTCTCCAGCCACTCCTCCCCAAGCCTGTAGCGTTGCACAGGGTTGGTGTGACTGAAGCGCAGACTCCCGCTTTGGATGTTCCCTAATGTACCTGCCAGGGAGCTGTGTGGGACAGGGGCTCCCTCAGGGCCCGGCACCCAGAGCCATGGGGGCTCCCCAAGGGGTGGCTGGGCAGGGCCTGGCAGTCAGGGCCCGTCCCACCACCCCAGCCAGGAGTGGGGCAGCTGGGGGGCACCAGGGCAGCCCCACCCCAGGCACTGGGCACCTCCCTGGGGACAGGGACAGGGACAGGCCAAGGCCAGGCTGTTGGCCCGTGGGTGGGCCTGGCTCAGCAGGACTTATGGCTGGGCTGGGCAGGGCTTCAGGGGACCTGGAGACCAGCCCTGCTGTGGCATCGCTAGGGCAGGGGCTGATGGCCCCGTGGGGCTGAAATGGGGTCCTGGGCCATAGGCTGGCTGGGGGCAGCCCCAGGAGGCTGGGCAGGGCCCATAAAGCTTATTAGTACACTTGGGACTCTGACCATACCTCTCCCACTTATTCGTTACAATGCCTGTACAAATCCGTACACATCTGCAGGTTTGGTTGTTTTGATTGAAAGAAAGAAAAGTGTCCAAATGAGGGGCCTCGTGTTGGAAATGGAGACATGCAGTTCCTTACCACAGCTCTGACACCTTTGTGCAGGGAGAAGGGAGAGCTCTGGCTCTCCCAAGGACAGCCGAGGACAACCCCAAATCTCCAAACATCACCCGCAGCTCCCCACTAGACAAGACAAGCCTTGTGTCCGCATTCCCCGTACTGCAGAAATATTGTTTGAACCACTTTGAGCACCTACTTTTCCAGCTTTCTTGTCCATTCTCACTGTTAGACAGGGATGGGTGTAACTACTCAGATTCACTGGTGCAATTCTATTAAGATTGCCAAAGGGTTCATGCTTTTGCAGGGTGCACTGCCTACAAAATTTGGGCTTTAATATCCACTGTGTAGAAAACATGTAGAGATAAAATCTTTTTTTTTCAAGTTACCCAGCTTGTTTCACATGTAGAAAGTTCTCATGTTGTACCTTGCATTTTAAGTGTTCAATGCAAGAAAGCTTTCCAGATAATTAGAATAACAAACTATATGTAATAAGCATAAAGGGATCTGTCAAAAGTAGAGATGGAAGAAATTACTGAGGGTTAACTCTTTTATAACTGGGATCTGTTATGTAAAGAAAGAGCTGCAATTTTTCACAAATGTACATAAACATATGGAAACAGTTTTTTTGTGTCTTTTTGGCTGAAGTTTAGGGTATTTAGTTTAATTTTTCCTCTCCCATTCGTTTCTGAATGACTCAAAGTTGTTCAGATGTTCTACCTGATTTAAAATGATACAGAATATAGCATGGTGAGTCTAAATCAGAAAAAATGTAAACCTTTTCCTCTATCTGTAATGGAATTGTTCATAGCGCTCGTAATTTGTAATCCATGCTTCTAATATCTTTATAATATTTACATAATTATATGAGGTCAGGAATTTAGTACTTCATTAACTTTTATGCTGAATAGTCAGTACAATTACAGGAGCTATAAGGAAATTTACCTTTAGTATATAAACATAATCAATTGCACTATCACCAAATGCAAACTCTGGGCAAATTTTTAAACATACAGAATGACAGGTCCTCCTGACTCCTTTCCAGGCCCCTTCTCCAGAGACCACAAGCCCCCAGCACCTGTCTCAACCACGACTCCCTTTGCTCCTGAACAGCACAACTCTTTCTCACTGCCCTCATAGCAAATGCAGCTACACCAAGGTGCATGCCACTCAGGGCTGAGGCTTCCCCCCCCACTCCGTGGTGTAATACCATGTGTTGCTCCTTCATCTTTCCCAAGCAGGTCTGGTTATGAAAATAGCAAATAAAGTTAGTCAGTCTCTATTTAGGGTTGCTCTGCAACACCAGCAGTCAGAGGCACCAAAATGGCACAATTATGACCAGGTTCCTCAGGTAAATGTCAGTGAAGACTCAAACTGTAGGTATCTACATATTTTACACAGAAATTGTAATGCAACATACACGTCACCAAAAAGCAGTTAGAGTACCAACTCATCCTATTTACTAGGCCCATAGTATTGAAAGATCTCAGAAGGACCTAAGACTTGATGAATAAATAGGTAAACAAGTTCAATATGTGTTGATTAAGAAAGAGACTGTGCTTCCTTGAACTCCTCCAGTATGAGATCACTATTGTTTTGATTCTAAAGCAGGTATTTTATTTAATTCACATGTGGCGTGTGTGTTTGTTCTCATCTGGATTGAACCCCTGACATGAATACAGTGCTTTGTTTTTCGAACTAAAAAATAACATTCTTCCAGATCAAAGCATTACCCGCTTTTTACCATAGCTTTACAGAAATTGAAGTTTTCACAGAAATTCCTAATCAGTTTCATTAACCGCTTTAACTATGCCGAATGTACCCAAAGCGTGAGTCCCAAAGACAGTCCAATGATATCTCTTCTACAAAGCATATTTTTTAAATAAATGCAAAGTATTACATGTAATAAGATAGCTCCTATCTCAAATTTCCTAGAAGTATTATTACGATAAAATTTCCAAACCTGCTGTGAATTAGGTTTAACACTTCTGAAAAGAGAAGTAAAGCAGTCAGTGGTTTACGTTAGGTTTTTTCAAGTATAGATTGTGAGTGTACAGGTTTTATACAATCCAACTTGAAAAATGCAAGAACTTTATTTTCACAGCCAGTAAGTTTTCACAGATCATTTACATTACACCATAAAAGAGGCTCTGCTGAAATCCTTTACCAGATCTAGCTTCAGCGGCAATTATGCTGAAAGTATCATAAACATACCTTGCTCCTGGTCTCCACGGTTCAGTCCAAGTCCTAAACCCAGTCCCAGGGATACAACCACCAAAGCACACACCAGAACCTGTTACACAGACACAGGAAAATTGAAGTTCACAGTTGTGATAAACTCTTATGTTTATTAGAAATTAACTGTATGATTATTATTTCTATAAACATATGATTTCTTATGAACTAATCATTTCTCTGAAATTGTCCACTAACAAATTGGAGATGTTCTGAGCCTGAAGATACTAGACGCACAAGAATGATATTCTCATGAACTGCTTACAAGCCAACACCTTAATACCACACTTCTAACCTATGGCCGGTCCCATGTTGTAATCGGGGAAGTTTTTGCTGGGGAAAAGGTAGTAGGAAGTAATCAATATATTTACCCGTTTTGCATATTCTTTATCTGTGTAAAGAGAAGGTAATTCCTTTTATTTAGCTTCTGTATTTTCCTGAAATGCTCAGCAGGATTTCTTAAGAGACTGTTGGATAGAGGCTGCAAGTGTCAAATTTTCATCCACATACTAGTTTCTCATAATAAATCACCCTGTTAGTGAGGTTAGAGGAAACTGGAAGGAGACAAACAGCCCAAGGAAACCCCATCACAGAAAGAAGCATAACATTTGGGAGGTTGGGGAAGAGCTGAAGAGGCCTCTGCCAGCTTAACAGACGCTGAAGATGAATGGCAAGGTATGCTGGCTGAAAGGCAGAGCGAAAAGTGTCAGCCCTCTCGGAGTATTTCAGTGTATGCACTTTCCTCTTCACTAAGGCAACGATGGGAAAGAAAATGCGTATCACAGAAAATCACCATAAACCAGCCCAGTTTACTTCCCATTTTTGCCTCAGAGTCTTCTTTTGTCTTCTGCCTTTTCCAGGAGCCACAAGGCACTAGCAAATACTGAGATTCAAAATACAGTAGAAATAAGAGCAGCTTACCCTCATACTCAGTATTACTGTAATGGAGCCTCTTAACTGAGACTACAGCAATTACAAGGAACTGAGAAAAACTGTATGTGTGTGTAGGAGATAACCAAGTGCACATATGCTGTCCTGTTACTTTTCGCCCACCTCTGCCCACATGAATACCCTAGGCTCTTTGCTGCTGCCCGTCCTGCCTTGCGGGCATGGGGCAGAGGTGTGGCAGCGGGGAGGGCTGCCCAGTTCTCAGGCGTGGGTGTACAGCTGGGCCACGGAGCAGCTCCACGCCGGGACACGGTGTACGTGCTCATTGTTCCTTCCCGCAGACCAGGAAGATGCAGGCACACAAGGCACAAAGGCAGGAGTGTGGCACACTACAACTAGCCCTTTGACAGAGACAACCAGGAGACCTAACTGCGAGTCTGGCGCGGCATATACCTCTTCTTCTGGACAGATACAGTAGCAGGGGCTCCTTCCAGACCTCACACTTTCCACTCCTGCTGCTGTGCTCCCTGCAGCCGTGCTCAGGAATGTCCTTTCTCCCTTGCTGCCCACCCTCTCCAGCCCCATCTCTCTGTTTTTTCCCCAAGCAACACAACACCAACAGCACCAAAGCTACTTCCCTCACACTTTCTTTCTTGCACCTTTACTTTCTTCCTGCTGCTCAGTCCCTGGTTTTTGTACAGCAGAAATACTCCAAAAGTAGGAATGGAAATGGAATTGGTGAGAGAACTGGGTAAGAGAGACAGATGGGATAAACATGTTTGGAAAGATTGTCCAAAGTGGCAGAAATGGTGAAGCACCTCAAAGAGAGACCCCAGGCATGAAGGCAGCAGTTTAATCCTACATCCAGTCACCATGGACCAGGGATCAGGGGGCACATTTGGGCTGCAGCAGTGGCCACTCTTTCTGGGCAGGAAGGATAACATGGCCAGGGTAACATAAGGTTTTATTTCACTGAGTACAGATCAGTCCAACCACCAGGGCATGCACTTTCCACCTTAAAGTTCACTATGGTTTTACCCTCCATTTTCATTAAAACTCACATTTGGAACTGAAATAAATAAATTATACTAAATTGAAAGTACAGTTAATACAACAACAAACATTCCCACTGCTGCAAGCAATGAGAGAGCTTAAGTAAAAACCAAAAACTCACAGCAGGTGTACAGATGAGAGGCGGCATTTATTACAGCATTTACACAAAGACCCTTGATTTTGGGACATTCACCCTTACGGTGATATAACATTCGTAGCACCTATTCAAAACCTCAGACTTTCCACAGCTATGCCTAAATTCAGGACTACGGCTACTTATTCATAAAAAAGTTGTGCCTAATGCACATGCTCTGTTCTCTGGAGGACTTATTAGATGGTGTGACTACTATTTGTGAGTACACAATTCTCTGCCTAAGCTTTCAGGAAAAAGTTGCCAAGGAAGTACTTCATGCTTATAGTTTATAAAAAATGTAGATAAATGGTGTAGAATATTAACAGTTTACACCCCCAATATTTAGATTTTTTTTTTAATAAGCAAGTATTTGAAAAACAGTGTATCTGGAAGAATGAATATGTTTTAGTATACTTAAATTTCTCACTTTACTCTTCCAAGTACCTCTTGAAAGTATAGCTTACTTTCCTTCATAGTTAGGCATTTTTCCCACATTGTTTCTCATGATCCCTTTATTTTTACTGAAAACTTAAGGAAAAATATGTCTGTCATTTTATCCTCTCTTTTTTTATCAATTTCCGATATTTCTCTCATATTTTATGCAATCCTTGCACAATACAGCATTAAGCAGGAAGTTGTACTACATGGAATTGTTCTGATGACATAGAGCTGAAAAGCATCATAACTTGACTCTCTTTTTCACAGAGCTGTTTTCAAAATCAAATTTTGAGTCTTTCCAAAATCAGTACCTGTCATTTTCTTTAAATTCCAATTTACAGATGCAAGAGCTTGTGCAAATATATACATATATTTTTTTAATGTTTGTTTCTTTTGTGCTGACAAACAGAAGCTTGAAACTGTATATTGGCTACAACGAAAGATATAAAAAACGTCACAAAACTCCTACACATTATTATTTACAAGGCAGCTGCATGACTCTTAATGAAAGAGTTGACACAGTATTTGAGATGTGGGACTGGCAATACTCTACGAAACAGTTCATTAGTCTTTTCCCAACTTAGCTTTTCAACGATGCCTTGCCTACATGTTCTGTTTTGTTAATGACAAATCCAAAGATAAAAAAGTAAGCAAAAAGGAACTGTGGCTGTTTTGGCTACAAACACATCCATTTTAAACAACTGTCTAAAATAAAGTAGTGAAGCAATGTCTTTGCTGTGCAAAAGAACTGACAGGTTATTGCAGTAAAACAAAAAGTGCAGTCAACTGCCAGAAAAAAAACATGTTTTTTGATAAGTATCAGATAAGTACATGATAAGTACCAGAAGAACTTTAGAAATCTACCAGTGAAGTTAGTGCATTCATGCCGTAAAACTGTAAGCACTGTAAGCTACCCTGAATTATTATGTTAATACAACTAAACTTCTAAAAATCATGCAGATTTTAAGAATTGTTAAATCAGCAGCCCTGAGAGAACAGCACCTACTTACAGCACAGGTGACTTTGTACTTCAGGAGGGTGTTTTTCTTCACGTACTCTCTTGGTTTTAAAGACACCTCATCCAAATGTCCGCTGTAATGTTGGATGGTGTCATCCTGAAGCTCCATTTTGCCGAGACCTGCCTCTCAGCCACGTGTTTGCTGCGTTCCTCAGCCTCCCCAGCGGGTCTAGCTGCTGGCTAAGACGCTGCTCCTGCTTCAAGAGGGTACGTACTTTGCTCATAGGGCTTTTACGAGATCTTTGCTTTTGCATTCAGTGATAAGTTTACAGGAAGCCAAAGTAAGCAGGAAAACGACTCAGAAAGGTCAAAGGCTGAAAAGCATTATCTGTGGGCAGAGCATCTGTGTGTTGCATTTCAAGATAAGGACGCCATTAAGTAAACTCTTAACTGGAGGTTGGAAGTAATAAGCAATATAAGCAGTATAAGCAATAAAATGGAAAAATGACACAAATCCAAGTACTCAACTATTCAGTTAAAAGCTTGTCATCCAGAGTATTTGTTACCTTCATAGAAGGTGAAGCACCTCTTACTTCATAGAAGGTAACAAATATATTAAACAAAACCAATATGAAAGTAGACAGTTAACTCCTGCTCTGTGTCACGCCTCTGTTTTCAGGTCCCTTCCCTTATTTGCACCAGAGGATTCCTCCTGTTTGGATTCAATCCATATTTGTCACATACTTCTTTCAGCTTGTTACATCTTTTTTTCAGTAGTGATAGATGTACTTATTAAAAACAAATGGTATACAGCCAAATCAGATGAAATAAAAAAATAAAAAAGTTTTGTTTAAGTACAATTTGAAATCCATTTCTATTTCAATTTGGTGGTTAATGGAAGGTTTGTTTGTTATGAAAATATACATTCTGAGCCTACTAGGTAACTATTCAAATGTTGATCTGATTCTAGAGTTGGGCACTGCATAAGCTGTAATTTATAATAAATAAATTTGTAACATTTATAATTATAAAAACAAATCCAAAACATACTACTGTACAAGCTGGTATGATGAAACTTAACCCCATCCCAGCCCAAACCAGTACAATCCCTACCCCTTATTCTACAACATGCTCAGGTCGCATATTATCTAATATATCCCTATTAATCACTGTCCTTCCCCACTGCCCATCCTTTGCTATATAGACAGATATCATTCTCTTAGTCAATGGGCCACCCCTGTAAAATGTCCATTGAGTTCTTTTCCATGAGATATAGTCCCTTCCCTTGGGAAAAGGACCTGGGGGTGCTGGTTGACAGCCGGCTGAACATGAGCCGGCAGTGTGCCCAGGTGGCCAAGAAGGCCAACAACATCCTGGCCTGTATCAGGAATAGTGTGGCCAGCAGGAGTAGGGAAGTGATCGTGCCCCTGTACTCGGCACTGGTGAGGCCGCACCTTGAATCCTGTGTTCAGTTTTGGGCCCCTCACTACAAGAAGGACATTGAGGTGCTGGAGCGTGTCCAGAGAAGGGCAACGAAGCTGGTGAGGGGTCTGGAGCACAAGTCTTGTGAGGAGCGGCTGAGGGAACTGGGCTTGTTCAGTCTGGAGAAGAGGAGGCTGAGGGGGGACCTTATCGCTCTCTACAGCTACGTGAACGGGGGTTGTGGCGAGGTGGGTGTTGGTCTCTTCTCCCAAGTAACTAGTGATAGGATGAGAGGAAACAGCCTCAAGTTGCTCCAGGGGAGGTTTAGACTGGATATTAAGAAACATTTCTTCACTGAAAGGGTTGGAAGCATTGGAACAGGCTGCCCAGGGAAGTGGTTGAGTCACCAGCCCTGGAGGTATTTAAAAGACATGCACATGCGGTGCTTCGGGGACATGGTTTAGTGGTGGACTTGGCCTTAGGTTTACAGTTGGACTCAATGGTCTTAAAAGTCTTTTCCAACCTAAATGATTCCATGATCCAGGGAGGCACCTGCTCCACTGTGGACCTATGCACAGCCACAGATGCTTTGGGGTGTATCTGCTCTGGCATGGAGTTACTCACAGGTCCACAGTCCCTTCAACTGGAGTTCAGACTGCCTACTACAGCAGTACAGGAATAGCAGCGATGCCCTGCCCATCTGCCAGCCCAGGCATGTGGCCAGTGCCGTTATCAAAATGTTCCCAGGCACAGCAAAGTAAGATGATAAGCACTACAGCAAATAGCAGCCACTAACAATCGCCAGACTCTAATATACAGCAAAGCAAGCAAGTCCCGTGGCAAGCGCAGGAGCCTGTCAATTATGAACTAAACAGCTGTAGCAGCTATAAATCTGGTCTAGCACATTCTGATGAAATCTGTCGTTATCTTGAACCCCTCTGGCCCCGCACTGGGTGCCAAAAAACACTCTTGTGGGTTAACCCCAAGTAGGCAGCTCAGCCCTACACAGCTGCTCACTCATTTCCCGCCTCAGGGGGATGGGGGGCAGAATTGGAAGGGTAAAAGTGAGAAAACTTGTGAGTTGAGATAAAGACAGTTTTTTAGGTAAAGCAAAAGCTGCGCATGCAAGCGAAGTAAAATCAGGAATTCATCACCACTTACTATTGGCAGGCAGGCGTTCAGCCCCTTCCATGAAAGCAGGGCTCCATCACACCTAACAGTTACTTGGGAAGACAAACTCCATCACACTGACCGTCCCCTCCTTTCTCCTTTTTTCCCCAATGTTTTATTGCTGAGCATGACATCATAAGGTGTGGGGTATCCCTTTGGTCAGTTGGGGTCAGCTGTCCTGGCTGTGCCCCCTCCCAGCTTCTTGTGCACCCCTAGTCTGCTCGCAGAAATGTCCTTGAGGCACTGTAAGCACTGCTCAGCAATAGCTAAAACAGGGCAGGGTATCAATACTGTTTTCATCACAAATCCAAAACATAGAACCATACAAGCTACCGTGAAGAAAATTAACTCCATCCCAGCCAAAATCAAGACATAAATTTACAAAAGGAGCAAATATGACTTCTGAGAGTGTGAACCATCAGTGTAGGCACCCAGGGTGAATTTCTGCTCCTATTGATGTAAAAGAAAATAATTTAGCAAATGAAATAGGATGTGCTCTCATGTATTTGATTTTGCTACTTTTACCTAATCATTGCTCTAATTTCACAAACATTACTGCACACATGATGAATTTCTATGAAACTTCTCACTGATAAAATAAGAATATAAAACGTCATGAGCATTGACCAAGAACCCAGACTTTTGTCTCTAATGATCAAGGGCCTCACACATTTAAAAATACTTCTTTTCATCCCTACCAAAAGACAATTCACACAAAAAAGTGATCCATATGATCAATACTTAAGAGTAAAGAAAACAACAGGGAAGAAGGAAATAATTATCAATTATCCTTTCTGTTCTCAGTTACTAAATTGTAAATTTAAGTGACCGCTCTGCGTACAGTCCGACGTGATACAAATGCAGGTCTAGGGTATAGACAAACCATTCCCCCCACAGGCAAATTGCAGTCCTCAGTTCATATGGCACTTCCAGAAAGGGAAAGATTGTTTCGAAGAACACATGCAGGACATCTCTGCCATATACATATCAACAAGCACCTTGGGGAAATAGGAGGAGACATTTCTGAATAGCATTGTGTTGTAGCTGCTTTCAGTTTTCAGTACAATTCCTATAGTTTTAAGCTACTAATATAAAGCAGCTGAACATCCTCTAAGGTCATCAAGAACTAGACAGGCCTTACATATCATCAATTAAAAGACACTTTTATACTCATTTGTCATCCATTTTCTAAAATGAATGGCACTCACTTAAGGACAAAATCCCCAAAGCTTAACCATTTTTCTCACAAATATTTATCATCCTTAAACAAATGGTCATTTTGATGAAGGCTTTTTTCCTAGAGTAACATGACATTTACAGTCATTTTGAAAAGTGCATTTCTTTTCCTGTCTGTGGATGAAGAGGGCCATTTCTTCCTCATGCAAATGTTGCTTTTCTTCCTTGTTTGGTGAGGTTTGCAGCTCTGCGTCACCTAAAACACAGAGTCTGACAGGGCTTCATGCCTTGGCAGAGACACCTGGGTGCAATCCCTGCACATAAGTTCTGTACTGTTCCTTCTCTTGGACCTTCGGTTCCCTTAGGCAAAGCAGGATGACCATCACTTAGGCCTGACCTGTTGTGGCACCCCTGGACCTTAGCTCTATCCCCATGACCAGATTCTCTGCCAAAGGTAGGATCATCAGTAGCTCAGTTTTGTTAAAATGAGATCTGGCTAGACAAGGGGTTGATTTATGAGATAAATCACCATTGGGACCTTTTAGGGTGTTCAAGGCTATCACGTGATGCAGTTTTAAAACTCAAAATTGGGTATAGTATTTGGGCCAAGTTGTGGGCCAGAACTCTAGATGAGGTTAGACCAAGTCTGTGTAACAAAGGTAACCAGTTATATTTGGGCTGGCATGATACAGTTTAGAATGAATGTTAGTTAATGACATGAAATCAAGATAAAGTCTTATTAGGCACAAAATTGTGGACACAAGATTGTGGCTTGGTACATATTAAGGTTGGATCAAGATCTGGAGCCCAAGGCATGGTTAGGAATGGCTGTTAGCCTGTGAGTATGATGGAGCACTAAAGCAGATAAAAGTAAGAATGGTAGATTGGTCCTCAACATAAGGATAAGACATAATGATGATGAAAACATCCTCTTCAGGGCTCCATTTCCAGTCCCGTTAGGGGTCACTATGTGAATGGATTAGGGGCTTGGCATAGAATTAGAGTAGATACCTACCCTGAGCCAGTCAGCCCAATGTGGGCAAGTACTGATGCAAGATATTGATGGGACATCCAAGGGCATGTCAGATAGTACTGCAACACACTTTAAGCAAGCACACAGTGAGGAGTATAGGGAACATTTCTTACAGAATAAACAGTATTGTGTTAAAACTGAAAGCAGTCAGTCTTAATAACTGACTTAACACTAGTTAGTCTTAACACTATAATAGCAACACAAACAAGTACAAATGGACTTTCCTCTCTATTATATCCTGTTTCCAATGATCATTAATTACATGTATATATAGATAAATAATATACATGTAAGCATTATTTGTTTCCCAACCAGGTATTTCCCATTACTGACAAGAATGCACTGCTTTCAGTCACATGTACTACTGC